TCTCAGTATTGTGTGTCTGAGTTTCAGGAAACCATGGAGACCAACATCATAAAAATCTTAGTGATAGGCAGCACTGCCTTGGTCTTACTCAGTAGGAGGTTTTCCCACAGGGAAGTTGCTGAAGGTGAGTGAAAGGACGGTGGTGAACTGTACCAGCTCAACCTCGTGGGTGGGTGCAGGGATTACTTTCCTTAGTGCTTCTATTAGGAATTCAGAGTACCTTCTAGACCTTTGGGATATTCTCTTTGCTGCTACTGAAGCGGTCCTGTGGATTTGCAAAGGATTCTTTTCTTTCTCTCTCTGTCTCTTTCTGACACATTCTCTTTCAATCTTTATTATTGCTTTTACTACTGTGATTATTCCAATTATAACACTCACCCATACTCGAAACAGTTGCAAACAACACAAAAATATCTTCTGGAGATAAATACCATCAATGGTTGGTTGCGTTTCCTTAAGGATATTTTTCCCCCTGAATCTACACAAGTGGGCCGGGGGCGGTGGCTCACGCCTGTAATCCTAGCACTCTGGGAGGCCGAGGCGGGCAGATTGTTTGAGCTCAGGAGTTCGAAACCAGCCTGAGCAAGAGCAAGACCCCGTCCCTACTAAAAAATAGAAAGAAATTAGCCAGACAACTAAAAATATATAGAAAAAATTAGCCGGGCACGGTGGCGCATGCCTGTAGTCCCAGCTACTTGGGAGGCTGAGGCAGGAGGATCGCCTGAGCCCAGGAGTTTGAGGTTGCTGTGAGCTAGGCTGATACCATGGCACTCTAGCCCGGACAACAGAGCCAGACTCTGTCTCAAAAAAAAAAAAAAAAAAAAAAAAAATAAATAAATCTACACACATGTATTTAAAAAATAAAAATGGGATTATTCTTAACATTGTCTTCTGCAGCTTTCTTTTTTTCCCCATGAAGTTACATTTGGCCATCTTGTAAGGAAGATGTGTGATCCTGTTCCAAGCTGGGTTTAAATTGCTCCCGAACAACCAGGCCATCAGTGGGTCAGCATTTGTTAAAGAAAAACTAGCTGTGCTCCTTAAGGTTTCCATCAGAGCACCTCTATTGGCAAGAGTAAAGTTAGAACTGGGCCCTGGGGTGTAGCCTCAAGCACCTGCTGCAACTGCCAGATATCTTTGAAGTCAAATATTATTTTACAAGTTCATTTTATTTTATGTGTTCTGTTTACCCTGTGGCTTTATATACCCCAGGGTATAAGTCGCTCAGTGTGAGAGCTTGATGTATAAGGGTGTCGCCAGCTCCCTAGCTAGTATGTCCAGGAATATCAAAGTTCTGGGTGGGCAGATGTAGAATGGGCTCAAGCAGGAGGAGGGATCATCTCATTTTGGGTGATGGAACCCATGGGGTCCCCTTTCTGAAAATTTTACCCCTCTAGAGTAAGCAGCCAACCAACAGGCAAATATCCCAGATCCATTGACCAAATTATCATTTTTATGGAAACAGGGCTGTGAATTCAAGTAGGTCTGTTTCATTTTGGAGCATATGAGATGACAGGATGATGATAATACATAGATAATAATAAAAATATCTAACATTCATAGAGGCTTACTTTGTGCCAGGCACGCTCCTTGTATCCCATTTTACTCCTGAGATTCAGAGAGATTAAGTAACTTGCCTATAGTCACACAGCTGGAGCCTGTGTGTGGACATGCATGTGCATATGCATGTATGTACATGTGTGTGTACGCACATGCATGTGGGTATAGGGGATATGGTGCAGGGAAAAAAGCACTTCCTTTTCCCAGTGGAATTATACCATAAATTAGACCCAGCCTAATAGAGAAGATCGTTGAGCATCGCAGATTTGGATTGCCTACCTGGTGTGAGTCACACATGGATGTTTGCGCAAATAACCAGACTGGCTGTAACCAGTCAGAGGGGCCTGGAGTCAGAGGGTTGCCTTTCTCTGGAGGGCCTTGAATTCCCATCATTGTCGTTTCCTGTCAGGAAAGAGCTTGGTTTCTTTTTGGCCAACGCGACTGATGGGGAGCTTTGAAGGCTGGTTGTCAAGTTGTCTTCATAAGAGGCGTTGGTAGCCTTGGAGGATAGGCCACATCTGACCCCAAGGTCACTGGGGGACGAAGCTTACCCAGAGGAGAAAGAGGATGGAGGGGAGTCTTGAAATCAAGTCATGTGACTTAAAGAACATGTTTAGTGCAGGATAAAGAAGGTTCAAGGGACAGGAGGACTGTCTAGAGAAAGGGGAATTCTGCAGTCCGAGGTCAACCGTGGGCCTGGTAAGTAGAGATTCTGAAGAACATGTTAACTCAGTGTCAGGAAGTTAGAGGTGCCTGGTGGCCTAATGGGATGCCTTGGAGGGAGGCGATGGTGTGTGTGGAAGCTTCTCTAACCTGCTCATTGAAAATGAATAGGCTGGTTCCCACTTGGTTCCCACCTAGTTCCCACCTGGTTCCCAGGTACATCATTGGGTGTGGGGTTCCTTCATGGGTGGGCAGGTTGGACTTAAAAGGTCTTTTACAATCCTGTCCAGCCCTGGGCTTCTAGGAGGCAGGGTAGTTTTGCTCAGAGGCCACCCTGTAGACCAGTGCAGATCTGTGACCCTGCAAACCAGGTTGGGGCGGGGCTGGGGAGGATTAGTTCGCTAGGGCTGCCATAAAAAGTACCAGAAAGCTGGTGGCTTAAACCACAGACATGTATTGTTTTACAGTTTTGGAGGCTAGAAGTTCAAAATTAAGTTGTTGACAAGGTGGGTTCCTTCTGAAGGCTACGAGGAAACGATCTGTTTTAGGCCTTTCTCCCTGGCTTATAGGTGGCTGTCTTGATGTTCACATGGCATTCTCCCTGTATCTGGGTCTGTCTCCAAATTTCCCGCTTTTGTAAGGACACCAGTCATTTTGGATTAGGACCACCCTTATGATCTCATTTTTACTGGATTACCTCTGGAAAGATCCTATCTCCAAATAAGGTCAAATTCTGAGATAGTGAAGGTTAGCACTTCAACGTATGAATCTTAGGGGGACACAATTCAACCCATAATAGGGGGCAAGCATGTGGCATTTCAGGGAGCATGCGTATAAGGGCTGAGAGCACAGGCCCTGGAGACTGCCTGGGTTCAAATCTCAGCTCTGCCATTTCCTAGCCACGTGACCCTTCAGAGACGTACCTTCATCATCTGCAAAGTGGGGCTGATAAGAGTACCTGTTACCATAGGGTAGTGGCAAAAATTAGGTGAATAAATACCTGTAAACACTTAGAACGTGCCTGGCATACAGCAAGTGCTAAATGTGTGGTTAGCTATTGTTACTGTTATTGCTTCCTCATACTGCAGATTATAGTAGTCTTTTTTTTTTTGCTCTGTTGAGTAGGAAAATGACTTTGTTTATATTCACCTTTTGTCGATAGGATATTCATAAATCATGCAAGTTGTAGCTTCTCTCATTGAATGGTGTAATTTTTTTTTTTATTTTGAGAGAAATGGTGCAATTTAGACCTTTTTTTTTTGTTTTTGAGACAGAGTCTCACTCTGTCGCCCGGGCTAGAGTGAGTGCCATGGCGTCAGCCTAGCTCACAGCAACCTCAAACTCCTGGGCTCAAGCGATCCTCCTGCCTCAGCCTCCCGAGTAGCTGGGACTACAGACATGTGCCACCATGACCGGCTAATTTTTTCTATATAGATTTTTAGTTGTCCAAATAATTTCTTTCTATGTTTAGTAGAGATGGGGTCTCGCTCTTGCTCAGGCTGGTCTTGAACTCCTGACCTTGAGCGATCCACCGCCTCGGCCTCCCAGAGTGCTAGGATTACAGGCGTGAGCCACCGCGCCCGGCCCAATTTAGACTTCTAATAATCATTTAGGAGGCTTTATTCCAATATTTCAGTGACCTTTGGTGGCAGCCTTTAATAAACTGACATGAGAATCTCAGTGATCAGTGACAAATATTCATGGTAGTGTAGTTAATCAAGAAGTCAGACGTTTTATTAATCATAATTACTATGTTCTTATATGCTTATATGCTTTGCCAGCTAGCTGTCTTACCTTTAGTCTGTATTCAGCAAACATGGGCAGCTTTGGTTCTGTTTCTTGTTTTTAAATTGTAGCAAAATACTTATAATATGAAATTTACCATTCTAACCGTTTTTGAGTGTGTGGCTCTGTGGCACCAAGTGCATTCACATTCTTGTGCAGTCAGCACCACCATCCATCTCTAGAACTTTCTCCATCTTCTGAAACTGAAATTCCATAGTTTAACACTAACTTCCCAATCCTCCATCTCCTCACCCCTGGCAACCACCATTCTACTTTCTGTCTCTGTGATTTAGACTACTCCAGGGACCTCATATGAGTGGAATCATACAGCATTTATCTTTTTATGACTGATTGATTTCACTTAGCATAATGCCCACAAAGTTCATCCATGTTGTAGCATGTGTCAGCATTTCCTTCCTTTTTAAGGCCCAATCCGTTCCATTGACGGTATAAGTCACATTTTGTTCATTCATCTGTCGGTGGACATCTGGATTGCTTTCACCTGTTGACTATTATGAATAATGCTGCTATAAACATGGGTGTTCTTTAAAAAAAAAAAACCTTGTTTTAATCATGTACATGTCTATTGTAGTCAAGTAGAAAGTACCCTCCTACCCCAGTCACCTGAAATCTTAGTGCTTTAGAGAGAACACTGTGTGTATTTAGGCCTCTATTTCCTCTAACTGTTCCGGACCATACTTGTGAAATGAGATTGTTTTGTACATATTGTTATGGAAGCTGAGCTATAGTTAAACAAAGTTTGAAATCTGTGAAGTTATTTGGGAGTTCCCTTGTTTTGAGCAGCTGGCGTTGGGTGCCTGTGCTGGGCCCAGCAGAGGCACAGGCTGGCCTTGTCGTCACGGTCTCCTGTGTGATCCGTAAGGTGACCCCATCAGAAGTTGGGAAACGGGCTGTGAAAAGCCCAAGGTCACCTGGCTCTTCCTGCCCCAAACGCTGGCTCCTGCCTGACCTCTCCTCTCCACCTCTTCCAGGCCAATGTCTGCAGACTGCGGCTGACCGTTCCTCCTGAGAGTCCGGTTCCCGAGCAAAGCGAAAAGAAGGTTGAGGGAAAAGAGCAGGTAAGGCATCCCCGAGGCGAGGCTCCGACAGGTTCCAGTCTTTGTACTCTTACCCAGCTGTGCCTCCTGTGCCCTAGCCGGACTGGTCACAGAGGCTCCCGTCCGCAGCTCTGATGAGGAGAAGGCCGTCTTCACCTTCCCGCCGGGTCTCCCGTCTTCCTAACACACAGACCGCTCTCCCCGGCTGGCTCTAACGGCGGCGTGCCCCCCTCTCGTTTCTTGGTGAACGCTGTGGCTCTGTGCTGCCTCCAAGCTGCAGGGGTACTGGCCTTAGTGACAGGTGCTGTGGCAGGGAATGTGGGTTTTTCTGAAACAGCCCAGTCCAGTCGAGTCAAAGGGCCCATTGTGAGCTGCTGGCGGGCCAGAGTCCTTAGCAGCTTGGAGCAGCAGCCGGGGCCCAGCTCACCCGGGGCAGAGGAAGCCCGGTGGGGGCTGCGGTGTGGGAAGGGCACTTTCTCCGCTGGGGGACGAGGCACTCAGCAAACATTTTTGTGCCAGCTCATGTGCTAGTGCTGGGGCAATGACGATAAGTATGTCCTTGCTTTAGAGGAACTTGCGATTTTCCAGGCGAGACAGGTTTATTTATTTATCGTATAAATACACAGCGATGATGTGATATTTCAAGTGTTGGGATCCAGCGACGTACTAAGGGCTCTGGGAACACAGAGAAGGGAATAACTGCTTGGGAGGTCACATTGGAGCGTGGGGGGTTAAAGGTTGAAGAGGAAGTCCTGTTTACCTCTAGGCCTCCAGTCCTGGTCAAGCCATTTTATTCATTCACAAGCAATTATGGGGCACCTACTGTATTCCAGGCACTATTCTAGGCAGGAGTAGAGTAGTGAACAAAGCAGTAAACAAACAAACAGAAAATCTGTCATCCATGGAACTTACATTCTGGTGAGATAAGAATGAAAATAAACAAAGTAATTAAGTACATTTTATAGCAGTTAGCAGGTAGTGCGTGCTGATGGAGGCAAGTCAATTAAGAGAAGAGGACAGGAGTGCCAGGGAGTAGGCGTGGGCGTATTTTTTCTTGTGCATATATTTTATGTGGATATAAAATAAAACAAAATAAAATGATACGATATAAATTTCGTAAATGAAATCACGAGATAGTGACCTCCTGAAACACAAGCCTTGCTTTAGAGTTAACCTATAGTGTGGTCAACTATAAAAAAGGATGCTTCTCATTGACTGCTAAGCCATTGATATGCTCCTGGGTTTCCAGAAGGTCTCTGTGTCCCCTTCCGTCTCCTGCATCCTTCCTCTCCCCACTTCCTACCAAGGACAAAGAGCTGCCTGTGCTAATGCAGATGATGAATGACAGGGACAGGAAGGAGGGAGGAAGCAAAACTAAGTTATGATGAGAGAAAGGTGAGAGAATGTAAAGTTGCTGATCCACCTAAAAAGAGAGGATGAATCCCACTAAAAGGATCCAGAGAAACAGCTGAGTGCGGAAAGGACGAGGTGGGCATGGGACACCAGGGGCTGGGAAGCAAGATGGTGCTCAGGGACGAATGGGGTCACAGCAAGGGACCCAGGAGTCGGTTCAAAAGGGCTCTCACTGGCCAAAATTGGAGCAACCTGAGCATGAAAAAGAATAATGACAGTTGTGGGTTATGACACGTAGAATCATTTTTAAAAAATCCATACGCATATAGTGATAATTGGAAAAGGGGAGGGGCTGGAAAAGGGAAGGCTCTGCTTCATAGAACACAAGCTAATACATTTAGAAAATCTCTTATTTTGCAGCCCCCAGTAGGTTCATCAATAAATGCAAACACTACTTGGTGAAAGGTTGTTGTGGACTGGGATGCTCACCTGGTCTCAGGGCGTTACCTCAACAGGTTGCTGCCTGATTCTAGAGGGGCCTGTACCTTCCCAGTGGAGTGGGCTGGCAGGCCACGTGTCGACCACGTGATCCAGCCTAGCATCACCAGTCGGGGGCAGCTGACATTACACGACCCGAGGGGATGTGATTGAGAGTACACAGTATGACCTACGTAGCATTCACGCCAAACTTGTTTAGTGGGCTCTAACAATACGGAAACAGAAAAACCCAAAATGTGGGACATTCTACAGAACAATTGGCTTTAACCCCTTCATAAATTTAATGTTATTTAAAAAAAAAAGATGAGAATCTGTTGTAGGTAAGAGAGACTAAAGGAGACTTAACACTGAATGTAGTGAGTGAACCTTGATTAGATCTTGCTCCACAAAATCTATAAAAGACATATTGGGGTAATTATATACTTTAGAATATGAACCTTATATTAAATATTATTAAATGTTAATTTTCTTGTGATAGTGGTACTGTGGTTATGTAGTTGAACTGTTCTTTCGGCTTCTCTGTAGATTTGAACATTCTCCAAAGAAAAAGTCTGGGGGTGAAGCTCATCCCCAAGCAGAAAGTGGGATCAGCCACTGGACCCTTGTTGATGAGTAGGATTGAGGGGCCCTCTGTTGCTGCAGGGGTGTCCCCTTCTGCTCTCCCTGCTCCCTTCTCCCCTCCATTTTAGAGCTGATGGCTTGGTCAGAGAAGTGGGCCTGGGCTGTATCCAGGGTGCATGGCTGCTTAGAACACTTTTTGAAGAAGGGGCCCAAGCTGGAGTGAGGGCAGGACGAGGGTGCTGGCTGTGCCCGTCCGTATGCATGGTAGAGGAGTTGGGGACCTTGGTGTCTTGGAGTCACACCCAAGCTTCATGCCTGGGCAGATGTTTGTGAAGGGTTTTTGAGTGCCAGGACGGGCTGGTAGGTGCCCTGGAGGGCCTGTCACCACTGAAGAAGAATCAAGTGTTCCCAAAGAAGAATCAAGTGTTCCCAAGGAAGGAGACGCATGTGTTTAGCTATGTCAAGTGGAGCCGATGACCAAGTTGTGTACCAATTTGCCTATGGCCTTGAACAGTGCTTTTCACACTTGTTAAAGCAAAAGGAACCCCCTTTTTTTGGGGGGGACAAAATGTTAGACTGAATCCTCACATGTAAACCGGCAAAAGTGGCACTGGTGGGGACCCAAGTCCGCCCAGCCTCCCTTTGCCCTTCGACCCCCAGGCACCCTCGTGTGGGTGCCCGAGAACTCCAAGGCTCTGAGGAGCACAGGACAGAAACCCCTGGGGTTTCGTGCACCAGATGCTTCTTACACAGGTGCACAGTCTACGTGCCTGTCTGTGACGCGTCGGTGACTCACTGCAGAACTGGGGTAGAGAGGAGGAGGGTGGGGCGGCTCTTTCGCTGGGACTGAAGTCCTTGGGGTGGTGGCAGCCCTTAAAGGTCCTGGTGGCAACTGGGAGGCTGTTCTGGGTGATCTTGTCACCACGTCCTGGCCAGGTTCCTGGTGTGAGTCACTGGGAGCCAGAGGCCACGCTGCAGCAAGGACACTCTGGAGGGGCCGCTTCACCTGATGTAGTTTCAACGTGGCTGCCCCCCCGGGACCCACAGAATTGTAAGGTGCCAAAGACTCTGGATGGCCCTGCCTGGTCAGATGAGTTTGGTTCCTTAGAAGGAGGATCTGTGGTGTGCCAAGGCCGGGGGCTTGGCGCTGGTGCGGATGTGGCAGTGGGAGGATGTAAATGGCCCGAGTGACTTCTGAGGAAGTGGGACATCGCGGAGGATTTCTAGGGCCCTGTTAGAGCCACAGCTGACTAAGGGCAGGCTGGGCCTTGTTCTTTGACACTGTTAAAGATGCTTAGTGTGTTTTGAAAAATGGGAATGCCGTCAGTCAGCCAGCCACACGTAGAGGCCGCTGCCGGTTGGACCATCCTTCTGCCCGTTGTGCCCAAATCACTGGAGAGAGAGACATTGCTCACAATGGAGGTGTGTCACACAGATGCTACGTTTCGCCCAGCTCCGCAAAGCTGTATCTGGAGGCTCCTGGAGGCAGTTTCGGCAGACTTGGCATCTTTTGTGGAGTCGTGGGTTTGTGGGGTATATTTGGGAGGCTTCCTACCCCTAAGGCAGATGTCTCATCTGCCTGTTCCTTCTAGTCCTTCTCTTTAAAAGACATCGACTGCCCCGAGACTGCTTTCTGCAGGCCGCAGATGAGCTCCAAAACACTCAGCTTCCTCTTTAAAGTAGGCATAATAATGCCTGTTTGCAAAGAGTAAGTGAGCTAATAGATGCAAAGTGCCCACCGTGGTGTCTGGCCTGTAACATGGATTAGAGAAGTGGTGACCGAATGCCAAACCTCCTCCCTTTGAATGCCACGCCCAGTGGCCCTTGGTCCTCGCTCTTCCTCCTTTGGCTCTCCTGGAGTCATTCGCCTTCCTGAAGCTGCCCGTCCTGCCTCTTTCCTTCCTCTCGGGCTGTGCCTTCTGCATCCTTTCTGATGTTCTACTGTCCTTCTGCTCCATAAATCTGGGTGTCTCTCCACACATGCACCCAGCCCTTGCCTCCTCTTTGTACACACCTGACCTCAGAGAGCTCATCTTCATGGCTTGGAGCTGGCCTGTCTGGGTAGGATGTCCACCCCGCACGTCAGCTCTGCTCTCCAGCCCTGTCCTACTGGGGGCCAAGGTGGTTTTCAGTGTTCTGTACATGGTCTTATTTTTCAATATCAGAATACCAACGTTTTATTGGTGTACTACCCTTATTTTAGTATTTAAAAATATGAAACCTGGATTGTTTATGTGAGCAGATACCCAGAAAGTTCCAGGCTGCATTAACATTCTGAATGGAATATAGGTACACTCATTCAAACAATGTTCTGACCATATCCCTCTTCTGAGTTTTTTTCTTTTTTTTTTTTTTAAGAGAGGGTCTCTCTCTGTCTCCTGGGCTAGAGCGCAGTGATGTCATCATAGCTCGCTGCAACCTCAAACTCCTGGGCTCAGTGATCCTCCTGCTTCATCCTCTCCAGGAGTTGGGACTACAAGCACAAGCCACCATGCCCAGCTAATTTTCATATTTTTTGTAGAGACGGGGTCCTCACTCTTGCTCAGGTTGGTTTCAAACTCCTGACCTCAAGCGATCCTCCTGCCTTGGCCTCCTGGAGTGCTAGGATT